CTGAATTATATTGATGTACATATAAAAATATTTTCAGAAAACGAAGTCGGGAAGATGATCTACCTTGCGAATCGACCCCCCTTTCCAAACGTATCAACAATCTGCATTTAAACTACGACGATGGGAATAGCAGCAGCAGTAGCAACTGCAGCATACCAAATCTTATTAATGATAATAATAATTATATATTACCAACGATCCAAAATGGAGGAATTAGTCCTGCAGAAGTGGTCGGCGGTGGCATATATGATTATAATCCCGAGCTGAATGCTGATCAAAATCCATACTATTATGAGAAGAACAAAATGTTATATGACTTGCACGTTGAACGTGTTAAGCGACACAATCACTAAGATTTTATAGAACACAAGTGGATTCAACTTAATGCTCTAAGACAAACGATAATTATAAGAATAAATGTGCATACAACATGCTTTATTCAAGGTGATACAAAAGAAAACCAAGAAATCAATTCAAATCTCATATAAACATAATAGATAACAACATACACAAAAATGAACAAGGAATAATCAAATCGCTTGCCTTAACCATTCGTTAACAGAACAAATAACAATATGATAGCTGATAGTGCCAATAATTCAAAGAAATAAACTCAGATGGATTACTTAGCCGATCTTCTATCTTTAAAGGTTCATTTATAAGAAGCTCCAAAACAACAGTTTAAATATTGTAAGCATTCAAAGCTCTGCGAATTGAGACAAAATGTGTTCGAAATATATTGAAATGTATATTTGTGTATGTATGTAGAATTAAAAGTAAGCTTTAGCTAACGATAACAACTGTTAAATACAAACCTCTACAAGCAAGACAAAACAACAAGAAAATATGAAAGTGGTAAAACATATATAGTTAGTAATTTTGAAATACCTACGTACACATAAACACCATAAGACTTTTCAAATTTTTTTCTGCACACACGCAACATTTGTTAAATCTGTTAACTATGTTTAATAGACGTTACAATTGTTCTAGAGTTGTGTGCTGGAGTCTTTAACTTCAATACAATATACTTAAGTTAACGATAAACAAGCCATGTATGAAGCAGCAATACTGTTAATAAAGTATTATAGGTTTTTTTCTAAAAAAAATTTTTTGCACGTATTTCTTTTGTTGAATTTTCCACTTGGGACTGTTTTTAGGACTGCGCACCACTGTGCTTTGGCGTATTGAACGTTACTGTTGGCTTTCTCAATTGTGATAGTGCAATAAGCGTTCGCTCGCTCTTCTACCATCAAATGAACACTCTCTTGCTCGGTGTCGCTCTCTCTCATTCACATTGGTACGCATTCACGTCCGACATACACACACACGATCGCACACATGCATGCAGCCACACTCATTCTTTGTTGTTGCTATTTATACGCTCGCAATTTATTTTTGACAAAGTAAAAATGTTGTAATATATTGTTCAAAATTTAGTTATAACATATTCAATTAAGTGCCTTCGCAGTGCCAGTCCAGTATTTACACAAACAAAAAGTCAAATACATAAATGCAATATGTGCGAATGCGAACGAAGTGGAAAATGTTTGACAAGTGCAACAAGTAAACACAATAGCCTCACATAATAGCCAATTATATGTAAATATATATACATATACATATATATATTTATGTACATATACATACATACATAAGTATGTGCAAATAGTTAATAGCTGAACAATAATACATCACAATCGATATTGCAATCGGAATCACAATCGCCGTCGCCGTAGAGGATGAGCCCATTCGGTTCGAAGAAGAACCGTTCATTGCCGGTGCGCGTGAGCACCTTCGATTCGGAGCTGGAGTTCGAATTGGAGACGCGCTCCACCGGCCAAGAGTTGTTCGATCTGGTTTGTCGTACGATTGGGTTGCGTGAATCATGGTATTTTGGACTGCAGTACGTCGACACGCGCAACAATGTCTCCTGGCTCAAAATGGACAAAAAGGTCAAAGATCAGCGCGTCGAATTGCATGCAAACAATAACATTTACGTCTTCAGTTTCTATGCGAAATTCTTTCCGGAGAACGTCAGCGAAGAGCTGATACAAGAGATAACGCAGCATTTGTTCTTCTTGCAAGTGAAACAGAGCATTCTATCGATGGACATCTATTGCCGGCCCGAGGCATCCGTACTGCTTGCCTCGTATGCGGTCCATGTTCAATATGGGCCCTACGACTATGAGACCTACAAGGACGGCATGCTAGCCGGCGGGGAACTGCTGCCCAAGGGCGTCACAGATCAGTATCAAATGACGCCCGAAATGTGGGAGGAGCGCATCAAGACCTGGTGGGTATCTAAAGACATACATACCACAAAATCCATGACAGCTAAATTTCGAATTTAATGTCTAGGTACATGGATCATGAGCCCATGACTCGAGATGAAGTAGAAATGGAGTACCTAAAAATTGCACAAGATCTGGACATGTATGGTGTTAACTACTTTCCTATTACGGTGTGTAATCTAACCACAAATAGAGTTCGAAAATGTATCTAACCTCACACGGTACTTAAACAAACAACGAAACCCTACATCAGACTTAATGTTAGATTAATCCGAATTCGATATACTCTACTTCCTTGCCTCAATCTTATCTGAATCTAATCTAAGTGTATGACTATGCTCACATGTGTTATCTAACTTGAGCTCGAAGTTGAACCTAGTGTTGATCTTAACTAAAACATAGCGGGATTCGACTCCGGGAGCGTACATAACTCCAAACTTACCCGAGCTAATAGAATCTAATCTGAACGTAACCTCACATACCTTACATCTTATTTGACCTAATTTTATGCTCTTAATCTTAGAATAAGAATAAAACCAAATTGTGGCTGGGCGTTACGGCCGTGGGTCTGAACATCTATGATGAACGCGACAAGCTAACCCCAAAGACAACGTTCCAATGGAACGAGATACGACACGTTAGTTTCGATGACAAGAAATTCACGATACGTTTAGTGGATGCCAAAGTGTCGAACTTTATATTTTACTCGCAGGACTTGCACATTAACAAAATGGTGAGAGAATAGCTTTAACTTCATTGCATATTATGTCTTAACATAATCTGAAATCCATTTGCAGATACTTGACTTGTGCAAGGGCAATCACGATCTCTATATGAGACGCCGCAAGCCGGACACCATGGAGATCCAACAGATGAAAGCGCAGGCCAAGGAGGAGAAACAGCGACGCCAAATCGAACGGAAGAAGTTCATAAGGGAGAAGCAGCTTCGCGAGAAGGCGGAACACGAGCGCTACGACCTGGAAAAACGGCTCGAGCATCTGCAGGACGAGATGCGTATGGCCAGCGATGCGCTGGTAAGCTGATCGATCCTATATTCTATACTTAGATATATTTATATATTTTTCATAATCTTAATTGCCTTTGCAGCGTCGCTCCGAGGAGACAAAGGAGCTGTACTTCGAGAAGAGTCGCGTGAACGAGGAGCAAATGCAGCTGACCGAATGCAAGGCGAATCACTTTAAGACAGAAATGGATCGTTTGCGTGAGCGTCAAATGAAGGTGGAGCGAGAGAAGCACGATTTGGAGAAGAAGATCAGGGATGCCGACTTCTATATGCTCCAGCTGACTGTGGAGAATGATAAACGCGAGGCCGAAACAGAGAAGCTCAAAAAGGAGCTGATCTGTGCCAAAATGGCCGAGAGAGAAGCCACCGCACGTCTGCTGAGCTTCCTCAACAGTGGGCGCAAATCGTCGACGGACAGCCTGCTAACGGCATCGACGGTCTCACAGGCCAATGTCAATAATCCGTCAAGCATTGCGGCAATCAGTACACCTTCGCTGACCACGAGCAGCTCCACAAATGATCTGGAAACCGCCGGGGGAGCAGAGCTAACAAACTCTGCCTCCCACTACATTGTGATGGGCGATAATTCTAGCGGCATTTCCGACGACTTTGAGCCCAAGAAATTTATTTTAACCGACAATGAAATGGAACAGATCGCCAATGAGATGGAACGCAGCCACTTGGAATACCTGCGCAAGTCCAAGAAACAGGTGCAAAATCAATTGCAAACGCTGCGCAGCGAAATCGCACCACATAAAATTGAACAGAATCAAAGTAATCTGGATATACTCAGCGAGGCGCAGATAAAGGCGGGCGAGAATAAATATTCAACGCTTAAGAAACTCAAATCCGGTTCGACCAAGGCGCGAGTCGCCTTCTTTGAGGAACTCTAATTGCAGCGGAAGATACACTGCAAAACAAAAAGAGGGAACAGAACAGAAACTACCTAATCAAGACTCATACAGCGTCAACATTTAAGAAATATTCTAGTTATTTTTGTCAATTTTGTGAACATTCATTTGCATGCGTGTGTGTGAGTGCACATCTATTTATCTCAGTGTACAACATGTGAATCACTGTATTACTGTATCTATGTTTTAGTGTACCTTTTATAGACATACAATTTGTATCAATGTATGTCGTTTAATTTGTCACTCAATTCAACTTATTGTATAGCTTTTGTTTCAGTGTATAGACAAGTAATTTGTATTAATGTGTGTGTCACCTAATTTGTCACTAAATTCAACTTAACCGTTTTTGCTTCAGTGTATAGACAAGTTAATTTTATTAGTGTGTGTGTCATCTAATTTGTCACTCAATTCAATTTGCTGTAAAACATTTGTTTCCGTGTAAAGACAACTAATGTAGGTCATCTAATTTGTCACTCAATTCAACTTACTGTACAGATTTTGTTTCAGTGTATAGATCAACAATTTGTATCAATGTATTTTGTCCGATTTGTCACTCAATTTAATTTACTGTATAGTTTTTGCTTCAGTGTATACCATGGATATGTCGTCTCACGTTGCTATTTATTTCAGTGTATATCCTGTTAATTCAGTTCTCTGCATGTAATTTGCGTTTTGTCTCCAATGTATTTTGTATATATTTATATTTATTTAATGCGTTTGGATATCCTTGTACGAGTTTGTCACTGTATTCGTTTTCTCTCAGTGTATCTATGTAATACCATGTCAATAGCTATAAGCCCTTAACGTTGGCATTATGCTAAGATTGGTTGCCGAATTCAATAAAAACCGTTTAAGTCAGGGCGTACAATTAAATATATGCATAAATGACTCAGCTCGACTCTTTTATTTATAATGGAATGGAATTTTTTGAGTTGGAAAAATTGTAAGGCTTACAGAAGTAAACGGATTGGAATCTCCATGATGAGTTATGCAAGATATTACTTATTACGACTAACCAAATAAAACCGATCACATATAAAATTTTGTTTACATGCTGCTTGAGATAAGCTGTGCACCAGCAGCATATATTACTATTTAGTCATACACCAAATTATTTAAAAGGCAATCCTTAGTATCGATCAATAAGTACTATCAATGCATATTTATATAATTGCACATAAATATTTCTACATATTTTCGTGTCAACCTTGTAGCTTTCACAATGGTAAATCTATTTCCTTCCTTCTCTAATCTATTTTGCTGTATAGCTGTCGCTTTTTCTATATTGCTATGCTCCTTATACTCGAGTGTTTACCGAATGGCAACTGGGCACATTTCTAACGTATTTATTTTTCCCTTAATAAGTCCTAAGGACTATTTTGATGTGTGGCAACGCTTTAATGTTAACCGAGCAGCTTTTGATTTAAGAATCATGCATTTATCGAGCCAGATCAAAGAAGCGCACCGCCACTGTAGGAACAGGAACGTGGCCACCTATCGATTAAAAGTTGAAGCAGTCGACTTTTCCAATTTTTGAAAAACATTTTACCATTTACATTTATTTTATTTTACTCTTTTAGGTTTTCACACAGAAACACGTAAACGTAGTTTTCCTAACGAATAAGTTTTTTTGTTGTTTTCTCATTTTTTTTCGTTCTTTTTTTTATATATTTTATTTTTTTTTTTTCTTTGTAACTTATGTAGCGCCGTGTCCTTTGCCAACTTTTGCACACATTTTTTTTATATATGTTATATTGCATATAAATTTTTAATGTTAAATTTGGAACACGTTTTTTTAAGCTTCCCTTGGAAAAAAAAATAGATATATGTTTATATAGCTCCCCCTTTTTTTCATCGACCCGCAAATTATGACAAAAAATTAATTTTTTTTTCGTACTAATTTTTTTAAATATTTACGTCTTTTTGTTGGTTTTGTTTTTTT